AGAGCGCTTCTCCCTTAAACCTGAGCTACTAGGGATGGTTACGGGATTTAGCAGCATCATGTGCAATTGTTTGGGTACCTCTGGTAGTCGGAAATTCCCATAAAACCCTCAAGAGGAGCAAATGCCCCACTTATTATCATTTCAAGATCACACATCTGCCGCTCGTTCACTGTCCAATCCGAAGGCAACGCCACCGCAACCGAAACGGCGCCGCCACGGTGAGGCGCGCTCTCCGTAGAAGACGACATTTTGTGGTTCTTGGAAATTAAAACAAATAGACTTAATGGTTTTAAAAAAGAATCCAAGGCGAAGGAAAAGGGGAGCACAGGGATTCAGCTGGTCGCTAGAAGGGAAGGTGACAACGCAGCGCAGGAAACGAGCACCGCACGCGCACGGAAATACGGGAACGGTGACGGTTCTGCCGCAAAATCAGATCATACAGGGAAATAATCNCCGCACGCGCACGGAAATACGGGAACGGTGACGGTTCTGCCGCAAAATCAGATCATACAGGGAAATAATCGCTAAACCTTCATTTATTCGACAACGTTTTCCTTCTATTTCGGGCAAATGCTTCTCCTGCAGAGCCATGAAAACACGAGATGACGCAGACGACACACGTAGGCGGGTACGAGACAGATCAGGCGTCTCGCTGCACCCCGATGCTTGCTGCCAGCAGCTTCTACAGAGCAGCTTTTCTTAATTAAACAATTTACTTCTATATTCCTCAGCATCGTTAATTTACCAGGAAACAACTACTTCTTGTCCTTCCCCTCAGCGCATTCTATTGCACGCGCCACTCCTTTTGCCTAGGCTCCCCCCCGACCGCAGGACAGCCACAGCCGACCCCCAAAGACGTCTTCGCCTCATTTCCTTGAAGTAATATTCATTTATTTGTTGCACACCAAGTTTCATGCACTTAATCAGGCTGCTCCGAAGAAAACAAACGCCTCCTGCCCCTTCTGGTTGACCACGAGCGTTCAATGCGTCTGGTGCAGGGCCCGTGCCCGACGGGAGAGAGCAGCCCAAAGCAAACTCGGTTTGCACAGGTAAAAAACCCAACCAGTATTTAAACAGGAATTGCAGCTTACTTGTGTTTAAGGAATGTTGTTGTTGGGGAGAGGAGGTTGCTTGGAATGCGCCTTTCTCTACGTGCGTTAGACCCAACTGTTGACCTGCACGCCCCAGAACATTCGTACGCGGGACTGAAACTGCACATTGAGGTGAAAATAGAAAAAAAGATACTTTATCATGCACAATTTACTAGTAGACAAGCTGGAGTTGAACAGGGAAGGAAGAGACCGGGAATGCCTTCTCATCACCGTCTACGATAGATTACGCGTAGCGTATGATGTATTCTACGCAGTCTTTGGCAATATATTATACATAGACCATAATATATTATATGTATAGTCTATAACATTTTTTATGCATTGTACATGACTTACTATTGATAGTCTATATGAAACGCTAGGGGCAGCTGCATTTGCAATGCGCATAGATGAATATATACTATATATATCGTCTTAGATAACATATAACACATAGTCTACGGTCTACTATTCACACTCTGTGGCATATAAGACAGAGCCTATGATAAAGGCAGCTGCATTTGCAGCATTTTCTTCCTCCCCATTGCAGCTTGCTATTCATCAACTGTTCACCCAACACGCAAAGGCCTCTACACGATCTCAGAAATACGTATCTCAAATTCTGAAAGCAATTCACCTCTGGGCATCCCTGATAGCCGCACGCAGCTGACAGCGGGGCTCAAAGAAGGTTCTCAGTATTATTTTGTCTCTGCTCTGGCATCCCGAGTTTTCGAAGAAGATTTTCAGTATGATTTGGCCTCCGTTCTGCCATCACTACTAGCATTTTGCTTCCTGCTTCTTTGACTTGAGTTACTGAAACCCCGCCTTAGAAATTCCATAGCACCCGTTTATCGAAACAGCCTCAAAGTCGCACGAAGTGGCTAGTTAAGGTGTTGGGGTACTCAGCCCGATGCTATCATAGGATTACTCTGAGACGTTTCACCTCCTTCTTCTGAGAGAACAAGATCAGATGAGGAAAAACCGTCCCCGTCTATTGCTGCCGCTCCCGACAGAGCATTTTGCTTCACCTACAATCGATTCCGAGTTCAAAAGGTGGAGACAAAGCTGTTCAACCGTTTTGCCTTTATGCAAAACACCCGTTACACCCGTCATGTTCAGTTCGGAGAAATGCGAGGGAGAAGCCGCATTTGCACAGGCCGGTTACGGCGGTGACAGACTGTACGGTGTAGAGAGACAAGGTGAGATGCTTTCAGCTACTGTCGAAGGGCTGAAAACAATGTCGCCTTCTAATTCTTTATTTTCCTTTGCTTCTAAATGTGTGAAGCATCTTCTGATGAGTCAATCTGTACCGCTTCTTACGCACCGTTCTAGTTTAATGGGCATTTCATGAGTCGGTGATTACATGTATATATAAATTTATATCAATAGACATATGCGTAT